TAACAGCATACTTATAACTAACGTGCTGCTAAAGTTCCTTTTTCTTGGCCAATCTATTTTAACAGATTGCATTTTTCAAGCAAAGTAATTTACAACAGAGAGCCCCGTTGCTGTAGGACGCGTGATACTTGCATCGTTTATCACAGTAGCCAAAATGAAAATAAAAAAACTCTTAATTTGCTCCCTACCCGGAACGTCGCAGAGAACGGCCATCCCGAAAGGAGGAGCTCTTCCCCACTGGAAAGTTTCTACATAAGTCATTTGTCTCCCTGTCACCCCTCTTCACTACCAAGCCACTCCACTTGCAATTAAAGTAGGTTTACTTTACACCAGTAAACACTTTCCATCCAATGAGCTGGTTATTTCATATTGAAATAAACTCTTCCATTTCATGTACAAGCCAACTTGCACAATTAACAATTTCACTCATCAAAAGCAACAAGGTGCAGGCCAGGTCCATCAAAATCTGTGCAAACTCTGGGCAAAGCATAGGGCTGAAACTCCAATACACTCCAAACACCCTGTCTTGGAGAATAGCAGCAGACAGTAAGGATTAACATAAACATTGTATTTTTGTTGCAGAGGCTGTATGGTGGTAACCCCCTGCCTACAGAGCATGACCGAACCCATCCTGAAGTGGACACCTACAATATATCAGATTCTCCAGTGCTGGTTTCTACCATACACAAAGGGGTCACAGGGTACAGAACCCAGATCAGGTCACCCAGCTGCAACGTGGCAAGCCTACATCCAGGCAGAGAAATCCCACTGCAGGAATTCCCCCTAACATACACGAAAGCTGAGCCTTGAAGCCTGCAGGACATCTGCAAGTGACCGAATTCTCGAGTACCCAAACCATTCACAGGACACCTGAGTGACCCACAGAAACACCACATCCAACTGCATTTTGGCTTTCCCAGGACTTTGTGATCTGCTGAAAGATACAGCCAGGTCATTAGTCTGCTGTAGAGCTAAGGAGATGGTTATCCTAAGAGATGTTAAGGTTTCCAATGTAGGTAGCCACCTCTTTTTTAATATGTGGATGAGGAACTGTCCTGTTCCTTGGCTTGCCCGTGTAATAACCCTTAGCATAAACTAACGCAATCCGACAAAATAATTTCTTCTTCCAGAGGAACCATCCCACTGGCCACCTGCCTTTACAAGGCAACCGAGCAGGACTATAAATGAAGGGGAGGCCACCCCTCACAGCATGCCCACTTCTTGGGATGTTTTCCCACAGGCAATGGCTCCGGTCGCAGTCTGCCTCCCAGTCCTGCCATCCCTCAGAGGCTGTGGTGCTCTCAGAGAGGAAAACATTCAGGGTTCCTACACAAAATGGGGCAAGCAACTCCTCAGGGGAAACCAGGCAGAGAAAAATTCACTTGCGGGTCAGCGTTAAAGCCTATCTGAAACATCACAAAAAGGGGCTGATTTCCTAAGATCTGACTGCCTTTTGATACGGCCTTTGGCAGCTGACAGTTGTATCGCAAAGGTAAGTCATCTGTAATCATTCTCCTCTTCCTGTTTAAGACTCCTGTGTTCAAAAGAGGGTATTTTACCATCATTTTTCCTTTGGCTGTTACTTCCAGGCAGGGATTATTGGCACTCAATAGCTGAGATCTGCAGAAAAGCCACCCTTGGGGAGGGAAAACTCATCAGCTCTTTCTTCCAATCTCCCAGCACGTTAAAAGCACAGAGAACCACAGGGAAGTAGCATGAATGCAAATCATCATTTTTTTTCTTTTAACAGATCCTCTTTTCATCCCCATGTAGGGAAAATGACCCAGCAGAATCCCATTCTCCTCTCTTTCCTCCTCATTCCTACCTGGAAGTAACAAATAAGCCGTTTTCAGCAAAAATAGATAGCATCACCATGGTGCAAACAGATCGCCCAGCCAAATCCAAGCAGGGGTGCTGTACAAAGCCAAGGCGGCGCTCCATGGCACTGCACTGCCATCCGGCTCAGTGGCAACTTCTTCTCAACAGGAACGGCAGCTGTAGGTCCAATGCAGAAGATCTTACTCTTCAGATACGTGTTTTCTAACCAGTGAATTCTAACCATTCAGTACACTTCATAATCCATTGCAAAATTATCTATTTACTGATAGATAGTACCAATACTTACGGGTTTGCAAGGGCTTAAACCCTCTAGGCAAAAGCATAAGGCCCTTTTCAAAATCAAAGATATGTAAATACCTTTGATACATTATCAAATTATTAATTTGATACACAAAATGGATCAGGTTCAAAGTCTCAAATAATTTTGGTATTTCACAGCAACTTAGCCTCTGCACACGTGCACAAAAGGAGCAACTCGCCGGACTGCGCAGCAGCATTCCTAGCTGCATCGTTATTGAAGCCGGCTGCGTAGAGACCTCTGGGCTCCAAGACTGCCCTGCTCAAATCCGAGTGACAACCACCTCTTGGGGGAGAAGGAAAGGGGAAGCTCACAGGTCTCTCCAGAAGGTGGGGCTTGTTCTGACTGGGGAGGTAGTCTTCCAAAACAAACCAAAAATCCTTCTGCAGTTATCTTTTGGCTGGCTTTTGCATTCTTAGTTTGCCCAACCCCCACCCCAATACTATTTTGTAGCAACACTCTGGATGCCGAAGGTCCTGAACACCGAGAACAAGGGTGACAGCCTTAACAAACATTAAATAAAGACTTTAAAACAGGCACCTGAATTTGTATTATGAGAGCATTAACTGAAACATGGAGTAGTTCTAGCTATTTTAGGTTAAAAAATTCCAGAAGCATATGACTCTCAGAGCAGGATGATAGTTCCTCAATACTTTATTAAGGTCTTCAGTTTATACACCGCCGCTCTGTCAGCTTGTCATTAGACCACGTCAAACATCAGACAGAGAAGATGGGAACATGCTGGCGAGAAACACCACAGATTCTCTGAACATTAATGAAGACTTCTACTACACAATGCGATTAGAGTAGAGTAAAATAATCGCCAACCGATACAGGTTGTCAGAATGAGATGAGATCATCCATCCAGTACAGGTATTTTACTCACAGCGCTTCTTTATGCACAGACATCCACGAATGGGACTGACCAAGGAGTGAAAAAAAAGTTAAGAGCTCCAAAGCCCAGGAAGTTCAAAAAGGCTTGGTTTGCATACAAAAGCTCAGTTAATTCCAGAAGGTCAAGTGCAAGTGGACTTCTGACTAATATTAATCACAAACACCACCAGTTTACCATGCAAACATTTTAATTGTTTACATTGCTCTCTTCCAAGCATGAAGAGACAGAAGAACCACTCCACAGTGGTATCTCCTACAACAGTGACAGAGGACCACCTGCTTATAACTTAAATAATAATTCCTGTTTTGTATAACTGAGGCTGAATACCCACAGGATATTATTAACATTTCCCCTCCAGCATCTGGTCTAATAAAGAAACACAGAACAGCTTTGCTGTATTACAAAAGTTTACAGAAAGTTTGACATTTTTAATTAAAGACAATACAAAATATGTTGTCTGAATTCCAATAATTTATGTAAAAGTACATGAATGAGAAAATATTGGCAATATTTGGGTAACCATATTATCAGATGCATGGTCTTTGCCCCTAGGGATAACATACAGTCAAAAATACATTTATATTTTAAGTTACAATAAAAGACAGCATTATTATTTTAAAATTAACACAATTTCAGGTCTACCAGCCCTTTAACACGAAAAATTCCTTTTAACACAGGACTAAGTGATAGAATAAAAAAAATGGAGCAACACTGAAGTCTCTGAATAAGCCTGAAGTGTTTTTTTTCCTTTTATCGAGGAGAGAGAAGACAACAGAAATCAAAGAGGAGTGTTCTGTTAGTGCTCTGTCTTCTCAGTTAAATGTTTTGAAAAACGTGATCAGCGCATCAGGGATTACTTTCATCCATATACCCCAGGGAAACCCACCCTCCTGGTGAGGAGACAGGGTACAGATCAGGCACAGATCTTCCCTTCCACGCAAAGCACCACCACATCCACCCAAGAGCGGATGCTGCAGGCAAAGCCAGCTACCCCGGCTGTACTCCAGCTGGCAGCTTGGCCCCAACAAGCACTTTCTCTCAGCCTCCAGCAGAGCCACTATTCCTCTCAAATCTGGAGTTATTGCTTCATGTTTGTCAAATATTGAAGCCCCAGAAGTCACCTTCTTGATTACAGTATCAGACAACAGCCTGAAACACCCAAGATTTTTTACCATGTATCACTTGCCCTCCACATTTTTGTGGTCAGCTAAAATAGTTTAACAAGACAACACATGATTAATTTCTTTGAAGATATTTTAGTTCATTAATTCTCGATAAAAGCATTGGTTGCAGTACAATAGTTTGGCATACAGAAACAAAACGTACTCAATTTACATGCACAAGCTATTTAACAATAGTACACTGTCTTTCCTATTGCCATTATAAAATGAACACTACTATGACAGCTGACAGCCTTCCAATTGTTCTCGTGAGCTCTAAAAAAAGTGATGAAAACAGTGTTCCAGTTGCTACGACAGCAAAGAACAAAGTCTGGCCACTGCTAGAAGATTCCAATGAAGATGCCAGTATCATCATTGAAAACAGTGTTTGAATTACTGTAAAAACAGCTACAAAAAAAGCTACGCAAAATTTGTTTTGATGTGTACTTCAGTTTAAAAAAAGAACACGTGGGAAGTACTTACAGCTTTGTATAGAAACGTACCAGAAACAAAAGTACATGCAGAGGAAGAAAAGTTAGAGTTTAAGGCAAGACAAATGTGTGGATGGCTAAAAAAAAACCAACAAAAAACCTGATCACAGAAGTACTGTAAACCAGCAGCAATCTGTTGGGGAAAGAG